TACAAAGAGAAGACATCAAGAATAAAGGGAATTCTTGCTAATTTGATCTAATAAGATTCTTGCTGAAGACACGCTAGGGTGATCAGATATCACCCTTGGGGATGGTGAGGGGTGAAGAATTTGATCCGATATCATGGGTGATCAGATATCAAAGGTGGGAGGATTTGCTCTAAACTGGTTTAGCAGAATTCATACTAAAATTAGATGAGCTAGACTTGAGGACAAGGCCCAAATTGAAAAAGTCTAGTCAATAAGAGGGCTCAGAGAAGTCTGTCTAAAGTTTGATCAAAGACAGAGTCTTTGTTCCCTTTTATGCTATGTCTATGCAAATTAGGGACGCGCGCGCGCGCGCGTGTGTGTGTGTGTGTGTGTGTAGAGAGAGAAAGGGAGAGAGAGAGCTAGATCACAGGAAAGACTAGGAAAAAGAAAACAAATTCGGGATCCTAGTATATATATCGGGTACTTCTCTATAGTAATGTTTAATTTTGTGTAACGTAATCAGATATTTCCCTTTTGGTTTGAAGACTGCTTGTATGGCTATAAAGAGAAATTTGCAAACTTCAAGTCGCATGAATGAATCTATGTTTTATTTTTATTCATTTATTATTAATAATAGTTTATTAATTATTCATTTATTAATAATAATTTATTATTAATAATTTGAATAGTTATTAAATAATTCAAATCACTTAAATATCAGTGAATAATCTTTAAAATGATAATTTTGAGGATTATTTATTGACATGGGAAGATGTTCTTCATAGGAACCTAAAACGGGGAAAAGGCAGGTATGGAAGAGTCAATACAATACGAGCTCAATTTTTCGAAATCTCTATTTGTTGTTCATATCCAAAGAGGAAAAGAAGCAAAGGCATCAATACACTCATGTTCATTCTCTCAGAATGGTGAGATTGTTAGTGGTTTCATTATCTACTACAAGTCCCTTACTTTCCAAATTTTCTAAAATGAGCTCATATTATATTTATCAGAAAAGAAAAAAGGAATTTTCTAATTATAGAATTAAAATAAGAAAACAGGCAATGAAAAACTCATAACTATGGAACTATGGGACTGATATATGAGCCTGAGACTTCATATATTATTTGAGTCTTCTATTATCAGTCTATTTTACACGAGATGTGTTTTAATCAAACACAAGCACACATGAACATATACACACACACAGACACAATTGTAGTTTTTAAGTATTTACTTGATATTCACTGAGGGAAACAACATCTTTTCTTTATATTCTACTTAAGCTCCTTGCTCTATCCTCTACACAAGACAGCTTCTGAGACCTTCCAATTTTTATGACTCTCTAACGTGGGTCTTTTAGCTCAATTACTCATTTCTTTCCTATTCTCTTTCTCCTCCTTTTTCTACTCCCATTTCTTCTTCTCTACCTTTTCTCTTCTTTTTCCTCATTATTATCAAGAAAGTTTTTAAGCGGAAATTTGGATGTGTGGAAAGTAGCACAGGTACCACATCAAGTATAAAACAACCAGTTACACATCATAGAAATATGTCATCTAAAAGGGAGGCTGTGATTAGAAGGAGAACTTAAAGAAACAATCTTACTTACCATTGCATCAAAAAGAATAAAATTCCTAGGAATAAACCCACCTAAGAAGTTAAAAGACCTGTAATCAGAAAACTGTAAGACACTGATGAAAGAAATTGAAAACACATAAATATATGGAAAGATACACTGTGTAGTTTGATTGTAAGAATTAACATAGCTAAAATGACCATACTACCCAAGGAAACCTACAGATTCAATGCAACCCCTATCAAAACATCAATGGCACTTTTTACAGACCTAGAACAAATAATTCTAAAATTTGTTTGGAAACACAAGAGACCTCAAATAGCCAAAATAATCTTGTGAAAGAAGAACAGAGCTGGAGGAATCTTACTCCTTGTCTTCAGACTATATTACAAAGCTACAGTAATCAAAACCATATGGTCCTGGCACAAAACCCAGTCACATAGCTCAATGGAAGAGAAGAGAAACTCTGGAAATAAACCCACACACTTACGGTCAATTAGTCTATAACAAAGGAGGCAAGAATGTACAATGGAGAAAAGACAGTCTCTTCAATAAGTGGTTCTGGGAAAACTGGACAGTTATATATAAAAGAATGAAATTCGAACATTCTCTAATACCATGTACAAAAATAAACTCAAAATGGATTAAAGGCCTATTTGTAAGACAGGAAACCATAAAACTCCTAGAGGAAAATATAGGCAGAACACTTTGACATAAATAGTAGCAATATTTTTTGGATTTGTCTCAAAGCAAAGGAAATAAAAGCAAAAGTAAACAAATAGGACCTAATTAAACTTAAAAGCTTTAGCACAGCAAAGGAAACCATCAACAAAATGAAAAGACAGCCTATTACATGGGAGAAAATAATTGCAAATGATATGACAGATAAGGGGTTAATACCCAACATATATAGCTTGTATATCTCAACATGAAGAAAACAACCTGATTATAAAATGAGCAGAAGAACTGAATAGACATTTTCCCAAAGAGGATATGCAGATGGCCAACAGGAACATGAAAAGATGCTCAACATCACTAATCAGGGAAATGTAAATTAAAACCACAATGAGGATATCACTTCACATCTGTCAGTTTGGCTATCAGCAAAAAACACACAAATAACAAATGTTGGTGAGGATGTGGAGAAAAAGGGAACCCTTGTACACTGTTGGTGGGACTGTAAATTGGTGTGGCCACTGTGGAAAACAGTATGGAGATTTCTCAAAAAACTAAAAATAGAACTACCATATGACCCAGCAATTCCACTCCTGGGTATATATCTAAAAAAACAAAAACACTAATTTGAAAAGATACTTGCACCCTAATGTTCATAGCTTATAATAGCCTAAATATGGAAGCAACCTCAGTATCCATCAATAGATGAATAAATGAAGAAGATGTGGTGTATATATATATATATATCACACAATGGAATACAACTGAGTCTTAAAAAAAGAACAGAATTTTGTCATTTGCAGCAACATGGATGGACTTGGAGGGCATTATGCTAAGTGAAATAAGTCAGACAGAGAAAGACAAATACTGTATGATATCACCTATATGCAGAATCTAAAAAATACAACAAACTAGTGAACAAAACAAAAAAAAGAAGCAGACACAGATATAAAGAACAAACTAGTGGTTACCAGTGGGAAGCGGGAAGGGAAGAGGGGCAATATACAGGCAGGAGATTGAGGTACAAACTATATGAGAATGTCGAACCTTAACCACTAGACCACCAGGGAGAGATACAAACTATTATATATAAAATAAGCTACAAAGATATATTATACAACACGAGGAATGTAGCCAATATTTTAAATAACTGTAAATTGAATACGACTTTTAAAAATTGTGTATCAATATACTGTATACCTGTAACGTATAATATAGTACATCAACTAAAGTTAAAGAATGCTTTATTGCTTAAAAAAAATACCTGTTTCCCCATAAGTTACCAAGCTGGGAATTAATTTAATTTTTGCTATATGCTGTTCACATTGGTAAAAAAAAAAGTTTTCTTTTTGATTTACAGTTTTTCCATTATGAGGAAATTTGAACACTTTTCAAATATTTCAAATAAATAAATAAAATGAAAGGGAGGCTGTGTGGTAAGAGTGAGACGTACTACAGTAATGTTGTGCTTACAGTTTTCTAAATTATAACACATATTTAAAAACCTGAAAAGAAATATATTATGATTATTTCTGTGATTATGACACAGAAAGATTAACTGCTAATTTGTAATATAATAGTGAGCACTATTTAAAAATAAAAATCATTAAGTTATATGGGTTCAGTATCAGAGTATGAACAAGAAAAAACTAGCTCTTTTTCCTACCTTTGGAAATTTTTAATGCCACTTGGCATTACAACTTGTTAATATATTATCATGTCTTTGACTTTTCCCCTAGTGCCAAATCATTCAAAATTTCCAATTTATTCAGAATTTCAAGGCAAATGTTTTGATTTTCAGGAATATTACTTCTTATTTGAGTATCCTTTTGTTTTATCACTCAAAAAGACAGAATGGAGAAAGGGTAATTTGCAATTTATCAACAGTATTTTGGGATATTGATAATCCAGGTGTAAAGTGTTAACTAGTGATACATATAACTGTGGGCACTGGTCACCATAGGCCCTCCTTTACCCCTACTCCCATTCCATCTCATCTCACTCTTCCCTACGAAATGTTATCAGAGTTGATTCAATTTTAAAAGAATGCACTCTTCGTATAGATTTTGAAAATCCAAAGTTGGAAAAAAAATCTCTGGGGAGTCAACATCATCTAAAGATCTTCATTGTTAATATTTTAATGTTTTACCCCCTTCTCAGTTCTTCGTGTATTTGAATATAAAAAGACTCCCCCACCCCCGTAGTGTGTCCTTACAGTAAGAGATAAATAATAAGGACAATGGACTAAGGACATTCTTTTGTTTGTTTTTTGGTTTTGTAATTACAGATCACATTATAGCTGCAAACTTGGGCTCTTTTTAAAAAAAATTTAACTGTAATATTTGTTAAACATGGGATAAAAAGAAACCATATATGTTATCGAAAAGATTATTTAACAAAATTCTCTAGGTGGTCATTCGTATTAGATCTATTAATTTGTCTATATAAAAGAGGCTTGGAAGTCACGTTTCAGGCCTCTAATAACTCCCCTTGCCTGTACTTTCTGCTTTCCTCAGATAAAGTTTTCTCACGGTTACTTAAGATCTACGTTAGTTTCAATCTGCTCCTCCCCGAATAGATCGTCCTTAACCCCTCCCGGCTAGAAATTTTGGAGCTGCTTCTACCGGGAAAGGAGGTGGCTCTGGAAGTGTGACGGATCTAATCACTCATTCATTGGACAAGAGTTTGTCAGTCACAGCTACTCAACAAATAAGGTGAGCTTTGACGGAAAAAAAAAAAGTTTCCAGGGTCATTGTCTGCGCAATCGTCTTGCGGCACCTCCTCCTCCTGTTCAGGCAGCTAGTGGGAAAGGCTGTTTGGTAGGCTTCTCCGGCGGCAGCCTTAGGCCTGCCGTGGTATTGCGCCCGTCTGCCCCTCCGCTGCTTCCTCCCCCTCAGAACGGCTTCCACAGCAGCAACAGCCGCTTCCGCTTTAGATTCTGCCTCCATCTTAGCCCCCGCGGGTGCCCGCGTCCCACCCTGCAGCCGTCTCCTCCACTTCGGTGAGTCTTTTCCTGTCAAAAAGCTAATAATGGAAGGGCTTGGGGAACAGGGCGCAGCTGGTGAAGAGGGCCCATTAGTCGGCGCGGTGGCAGCCGAAGCCTCTCCACAGGCCTTGATGGGGTACTCCTTAGACGAGGACTTTATTGAGAACCTGCCTCTGGCAGTTAAATACCGAGTGTACGCTCTCAAAAAGCTTCAGGCCAAATCTGCAGGTCTAGAAGCCAAGTACTTGAGGGAATTTCATTCCATTGAGAGGAAATTTGCCGGCATCTATGGGCCCTTATTGGAAAAGAGACGCCAGATCATCAATGCGCTCTACGAGCCCACGAAAGAGGAGTGTGAGGTGAAGTCTGCGGCCGAGGACTATGATTACAATGAGATCGGAGATGATTCAAATGCCCAGATGCAGGGTCCGGAGGAGAATCCGGAGTATGAAGACTTGGAGGAGTATTGCGAGGAAGATTTTGAGGATGTGGAAGATGTGTTTGGGGAATATGGAGGAATCGAGGGACATAATGTGGACGAGGAGAAGGAGGAGCCTACAGGGATCCCCCATTTCTGGCTCACGGTTTTAAAGAACGTCGAGGAGGTCTCTCCGTTGATTCAGAAATATGACGAGCCCATTCTGAAGCTCTTGCGAGACGTGAAAGTCAAGTTTTCAAAACCCGACGAGCCCCTCGCCTTCACTCTGGAATTTCACTTTGAACCCAACGACTACTTCACAAATGAGATGCTGACCAAAACTTACACGCTCAAATCTAAGCTCCATTACTCTGACCCCCACCCCTTTAGGGGATCTGCGGTGGAAGATTGCATTGGCTGCAAGATAGACTGGAAGGAGGGAAAGAACGTCACTGTGCAAACGGTCCAGAAGAAGCAGAGGCACAGGTTCTGGGGACTGATGCGCACAGTGACCCAGGAATTTCCTCGAGAGTCCTTCTTCAACTTCTTCAGTGCTCTCCGCTGGGGTCTGGATGCTGATGAAGATGAAGAAGACGTCTTCATCGCTCACACTTTGCGCACCTTTGTCATCCCAAGAGCCGTGTTATACTTCACAGGAGAAGCACTTGAGACTGAGCAAGAGGGATTGGTCAGACAATGTAATGACCTGGTTTATGACAAAGTCACTTATGAGAACGGGACGGCTGCTGTTGAGGGTGCTAAAGGCCAATGCCTGGACTCCCAGGCAGAAGATATTGATCGCTGAAACAGAGAGGTTGGTGTACATGGGCCCCCAGATAAGGAGCCTTCATTTACAATAACTAAAACTTAACCATAAATTACTTACAATCTTAACGTTTGTCTCTTCCTGGTAGTCTCAGTATGAAACTATGTCCAAATATATTTAACAGTGCATTCCATCTAGTACTACAGTAATGTAAACATTTTCAGGAAATGTAGAAGGCAGTGAATTCTCTAAGCATGTGAATACCTTGCTATTATAAATCCATTGGCTTTTCTCAGGTTGCTATTAGTTTCTAGCCAAGAAAAAAATTACCAGAACTCGTAATTGAGATGTATCTGTTTCGAGCTTTTTTCTTTGAAAAAGCAAAGCAAGACTGCCCCTTTCCCCAGCACCCTTGATAATGGACTTTATTCTGCTTGCCCTAGCTGTGCCTTCATCTCTTTGTTATAGAAATGCAGCAAGTTATACACAAATACACTTGATTTATAATTTGAGAAACTGCTAGCATAAGAATAAACATTTGCAGCAAACCCACATTAATGTTATTGACTGTTAGCTTGTTTATAGGCTTCTGTATTTTATGTGCTATAGTGATCTACTGAGAAACCAACTGTATTATTGCTTATCAGCAAGGTAGAGTTAAACCATTTTTCTTAAATCTTGCCATATACTTCTGCAAAGTGGGGTTAAAATATATATTTTCTTTTCTGGAATGTACCTGTCTCTCATGGAAATTACATCATAAGTTAAGCTTTTTTCCTTATGTTTGTTTATTCTAAAATAAAATTAATACATATGTTAAACACTGTGTTTCTCATGAGAATTGGAGTTAGGGATATGGCCTTGCCTCTTAAAGTATCAGGTGAAGGATGTGGTTCAGAGGTATTAGCAGGTCTGATTTATCCTTTGGGCATAGTATGCACTGTTCCTAGGGCCCACTACACTTTTAAGATTCCACAGGGATGTTTTAATTTCTTTTAAAATCAGAAGAAAGTGAACATAGTAATAATGTGTACATAATAATTAATCTATCCTGGATTATCTTTGTTTTATACCAAAAGAGATGTAAAATATTATGTATTTATGTATATTTGAAAGTCATAGAAGAAAGGGCCCAAGAAGATAAAGCTTCCTTGGGTTCATGAAAATCATGATGAGGCCCTGAGTCACACCCTTAGAAATAGGTGAAGGAGAGAGGGCATGGAGTGGTTGAGGGGTGGTAACCTGACAAAGGAGAGAAAAGGAGGGAGGTAAAGGCGATGAGGAAAGAAAGGGAGGGACAAGCAGTGATGGGTTCATTGGAGAAAGGGTAATGGAGGGTCTCCAGGCCCTAGGACACTGTGGCTGTCTTGACTGTTCAGAGGGGAATGGGTTAATAGAATGCTGGAGGAGGGGCAGGGCCAGAGCCCAGTTTGGAACTGGCCTGGGAAAAGTTGGAGTGGGCTTGATTAGGGAAGAAGGAAAATGACTGGAGAGGACAGAAGTGGGGGAAAGGAAGATAAGGAAGTGAGTGAGGGGTCTGGAGGGCAGAGAAGCAGAGGATACAGAGGATGAAAGAGTGAAGCTTATTAGAGATGGAAGAGCATTCTTTGGCTAGAGGTTGCTGAAGTTCAGGTTTTATGGTTTTGATACATTTTGCAAAAACATTAGTACTCTGTCCAGGAAGAGGGACTGCAAGAGGAACTAGAGGAGCATTGGCCCATTGTAAGTAATCTTTAATCATGTTCTTTCATTGCCAAAATACATACACGTATGAATTCACTATTTTTAATTCAACATTTTATACTGTACTATTTCTGTGTGCCAGAAATTGTTCTAAGTACTTTAGAAGTATTAAGCCCTGTAATATTTATTTTGTAATTGAAAAAGTAGTAAATGTATAGAGAAGAATTAATTATAATACCAAATAACAATTTCCTCCAAACTCAGCTTTAACTGCTAACAAGCATACAATTCTGTATCCTGCTTTAAAAAAAAAGTTTACCATTATAGTGCTAGTGTTTTCCTGAATTTTAATTTACATTTTAAAAGCATAATTATTAATGATCATGTAGTATTCCAATGTATGGGAACACAATTTAACTATTATTTTAATGTTGGTTATTAGTTTCTAATTTACATAATAAAGTAGGCAAGCATTCTGTTTTTTAATGTTAAGACTTTTTATACAAGTTCCTTTTTAAAACTTTTCCCTCTAAGTCTTTTGGAAACTCTATGAGAGCTAAATGGTGAGTCAGAAGCAAGAGTCAAATCATTGATTAGCCAGAGGTTCAATGAAAAATGTAGTCCCTAGAATGTAACTTTCCCAAGTATAGTCACAAATCTTAGAGGTGGTATTTTCCTACTCAACATGTGTAACAAATCCTTTGCCTGCACCCTGCACCAAAAACGTATATTTTTCACACGTTTTTTTGAACATGTAAGAACTTGAGAAATAGAGTTCTCTTGAGTTTTTTTTTAGAAGATTGATTTAAATTTCAGACCACCCCCAAAAATGAGGCTCTAGTGTAAAAGTACCAATACAACAGTGAGCATTAAATCAACTTAGTTATAAAGTAAGATTAAAACATACATTTATATATATATAAACAGAAAATTAAAATTTTTTAAGCACTCTCAATGTAGACCTAACTAGCAAAAGTTGGAACCAGAAGGGGAATTTCTTCTTTTATAGCTGGGGATCAAAAAATCTGGGAAGGTAAGTAACAGACACATAAGTATATATTTAAATAATGCCCTAAGAAAAATAATACAATCAATAAAAATTGGATACTGATTTTTTCCCATCATTGCTCAGTAAACATTAAATAAAATTGTGTTTATAAATGTAACAGGTAGAAAAAAGGGCAAACCTTCCAAATTATCAGAAGATTCAAAACTAAACTAAAAATAAAGGCTGTGTAACAAATAAGGGGGAAAAAAACCCAGAAAACCTAAAACAGATATATTTAGTGAGATAAGATGTAATATTTGACACTTTCCCATGTCTGGAAAGTGCTTCTTTAGGTAGCCTCATGGATATCTCTCACCTCTTTCAAATCTTTGCTCAAATATCACTGTCTCAATGATGTCTACATTGACCACCCTGTTGTAAATTGTATATGCTTCATACATGTACTCACAATTTCCCCTTACTCAGCTTTGATTTTCTCCCATAGAAAACAGCACCTTCTAACTCACTATATGATTTACTTATTTGTTATTTGTATTGTTTGTCCTTTCACAGTAGAATATAAGCTCTGTCAGAGCAAGGATTTTTGTTCACTGATGTTCATTAATTTTTGATCCTTGTTCATTGATGTATCCAAGCATGTGTAATGGTGCCTGGCATAAGGTGGATGCTCAATAAATATTTGTTAAATATATTAATCAATATCTGTCTTAGTAAATGTAAATGGGATAACTCATCTAGGAATTTATCCTACAAATATACTTTTGCAAAATGACATGCTCAGGGATATTTCCTGTAGCACTGTTCTACCAAAATAATAGGGAAAATTTCAAATCCATTGGTAAGGGTTTGTATTTATATAAATTATGGTCCATCTCCTCAACAGATATTCTTAAACACTATGAGACAGCTATATATATATATTATATATGTATATTATATATATATATAATATATAGAAGAACAATCTCTAAGATAGTGTTAAGTGAAAATAGCAAGATGTTAAACACTATATTATACTATAATTTTTGAACACTTAAAAAGTATAAAAAGATTTGATCACATATTGATCATGTGTTGATTCTGTACTCTTTTGGAAAGATACATGAGACACTAGTAATAGTGGTTGCCTCTATGGAAGGGAATAGGGACATAATGGTGAGAGGGAGACTTCCTTTTAATCTATGCTTTTATCCTTTTTTAATTTGTTATCACATGCAAATTTCATGAGCATAAAAAACTGGGCCTCTGGGAAGGCTTTCAAAAGAGTTAAGTATTGGATTATTCAAAATAAAATTTTGGGAGGAATTTGTTTCTGCTCTAGTTGCTTTGTTATCACTGTTTGTATTCTTAGCAGCTTGACTGCTTCCAAGAGAAAACTGAGAAATAGGGCCCATTAAAATGTAAAGAGACGGGCCTGAGGTGGCAGAAATGTATAAGGGAGTTTTCAAAAACAGGAATGTCTAAAAATTTTAAGTGTTTTCATTACCGCAAGGTACACTTACCCATCCCCCATCTCATATCTTTGCCAGAGTCTTGGTATATATACAAAGATCTTATGTGTATCGTCCCAGAGGTGAATCAAGTAAAAGAGTATTGTTCATATCTGAGTCCATCTAGCTTGTAGAGATAATCGGATAGCAAGAGTGTCTAACTACCTTGTCATTCAGCAAAAAGTGTAGCTAGAAGCTATGAGTGAATGGATATTGCAAAAGCCATTTTCCTTCATAATTGTTTCTCTTTAAAACTGGTTGGCCTAGTCTGATTCTTTGATTCTCAAAAGATTTAACACTCCAGCTGATACACTGGAGTATTGGGGGGGGGGTGTGTTCCTTTAAAATGCAGTGCTTGATATATAATTTATTTAACTCCTCTTTCCCTGGCTGAGTTCCATGAGTTTTATAGTGAGGAAAAAACTGTCCTTGATTCTTACCTTATCCATGACTTAGTACTTGGGTGATTTCTCTGTCAATTATTTAACTTACTAAGTTCTGGCTTTCTCATGTGTAAAGTAGATTTAACAACACCTATCCTTATTTGTGAGTATTTTATATTCCTAGGATATCTACCCCTTCTGGAAAATAACCCTTTCTTTTTGGAAAATTGCTCCTCTTTCCACTCCTAGAATTTTGGTTCTAGTGGAGGTTGTGCCTCTGGCCACAGAAATGGTCAAGTTACTCAAGCCAGTATCATCTGAATCCATCCCTAGAATTTTGCCAATTGAATCTAAGAAAGACAGTGTTGATGTCCCAAGTGGCAAGGCTAGTATGAAATTAGTCCAAGCCCTGCAGCTAACTACAGCTCCATCTTTGTGAAACTTGAATTTCAGATTCCTTCCCTGGTTTCTATTTTCCTAGAGCTTTTTCAAATTCACCTGTTCAATTCTTTCATTTTCAATATATATTTTTCTTACATAGAGTTTGTTTTTTATCATCGGTATGTAAGTTACCTCCAACTCACTAAATTATATCTATGCTTACAAAGGTGTCAAATGTTATTAAATGTAATAGTAAATGCTTATCCTAATGCACTACACACAGACACTCAGTGATATTGTAGCACTCGTAACAGGAATAAAGAAATAATTATTGCTGCTTATAATCTCACACCACTCTCTAGGTGTGGAATAGGTAACTAGGAGGCCTTTTGTTTATTGGTAAAACTGAGTATGCAGAGTTGAGGAAATTAGGACCTAAATTGCTCTGCATGTAAATGAAGGAGATGATAATTTAAAACTGGCTAAGTTGATCTTTGGGAGAGAGTAAGGAAGAATTCTGGTTTAAGGTACAAGGGAGAAGAGATGCATCAATTGGGCAATATTGTCTCCAAGGATAATTTTATGTGTGGACAAATAATAAAAATACATACAATATATTCAAAATATTTACTTGATGTATAATTTAGTAATCAATTATAATTACAGTTTCTTCCCTTAGAACTGTGAAAATTAATGTCTTTTTTGTTGTTTTTAACTTTATTTTATGTATATATGTATGTATGTATGTATGTATGTATGTATTTATTTATTATTGACATATAGTCAGTTACAATGTGTAAATTTCTGGTGTACAGTATAATGTCCCAGTCATGCATATATATATATATACATATATTCATTTTAATATTCCTTTT